CTGGGGGCCCGGCTGTGCGCCCTGCGCCCGGATGACAGCAGCGCCGCCCGCACCGAGATCCACCTGCTCCTGGACCAGCTCATCTCCGAGAACTACGGCGCCTTTCACCGCCCCACTCAGGATCACCTTTGGCCGTAAGAGGTGAGCAACCTTACTACCTACCTTTGTAATTAAGGGGTGGCCTTCTTCCATCCCCACTTGGGGCTCTCAGCCCAGAATGGCACCAAGGCACAACCCGTTCACCATCTCTGCCAGAAGCACATTGAATCCTCCTGGAACGGGACCTCCGGGAGGCACCAGGTGGAATAACACATAGCTTCATAGTTTTAAGCTCTTACTCTGAAATTCTAAGTTATACACAGAAAATTATTTTCTTTGGCCACTTTTGCTAATGACACGAGAGAAATTAGTGCCAAGTTGTGATGTAGCAATGAGTTCTCCTGTTTGAATTTGCATCTATAAGAAAACATACCCTAGTTAGAGAGAAGCTAGTTATGAAATAGAACAAAGTAACTAGATCATGTTGTACATTTCCTGCTCTACTGCCCCACCCCACACTCCTCTCCAGTGTCACTGAGGGTATAAATTGGGGCTGGGCTCAGTGTGTACATTCATATCAAAGGCCAACATGAAGACAGGCACAGCCTTTGTCCTAGTGGCTTTTGTCATCTTGGGGATAGAGATGGCCTTCGCTCGGAGACTTGCTAATGGAGGTAAGGGTGCTGAGGGGCTCCTACCTGAGAGCAGAGCAGGCTCAGAGCCCAGCTTCTTACCTGGGATGGTGTGGCACAGGAACAGGCTGCAGGGTGGAGATTTGGTATTGATCAGACCCACTTTCTTTATCCTTCAGGAGTGATCACCTTGTGTTCCCATTCTTCTTATTTTTTAATCCTCACCCGAGAGATGCTTATTGAATTGAGAGAGAAAGAGAGCGAGAGCGAGAGAGAGAGAGAGAGAGAGAGAATAGGATAGGATAAGTGAGGACATTGGTTGGTTGGCTACCATATGTGCCCCAAGTGGGGATTGAACCTGCAAAACTTTCAGTATATGGGGTGATGCTCCAACCAACTGAGCAACACCAACCGGGGCCCCATTCTTAGCAGATCAGGTTGGGCCTTATTAAAAGTTGGGGCTCTCTCTACATGTGCCTTGGATGTAGGGCTCCAACACGGAGTAGCCCCAGAATGAACATTGGGTACATGTGAGGTGGAAGACGGATGTCTGGGATCAGAGATGTTTCTAATATCTTATAAGGTGGAAGGAAGAGGCTTATGACAGAGCAGGTTTCTTGCCTGCGGAACTGGGCAGCCTTTGCAGCAGGGAGAACATTCTCCCAAGGTCCTGACTGTGACATTGGGGGCTTCAGAGTGAGGATGGAGCTGCCAAGGCTGAGGGAGGGTCCAGGAGTAAAAGGAAGAAATGAAAGAGGTGGGAGTCCTGCCAGCAGTGAGCCTGTCGATCTCTAACGGCAGTTTTTATACCTGGTTAGTGACTATTCCAGACTCCACAAACACCATTGTATGTTTCAGGGGGAAACAGACCTGGACTCTGCCCCATGGTGACCATAGAAACCGGTGGTATTTGTGCTGAAAGCTGCACAGGAGATGACTCATGTCCCGGGGAAATGAAATGCTGCTTCAATGGATGTGGCCACACC